CCAGCCCTGCTGTGGAGACGGCAGAGTTTGGTCTGTGAACTGTGTTCCTGTGTTAAGACTGAAGTTTTCTAGTCACTTTGCTCCAGTCTAGTTGGGAACTGAAAAGTGACTTGGTGGCAGATACCTCTTAGTGAATTCCTGTGCTTTGTGTCCCTTGTTTTAGCAGCCTTGGGTTCTGGAGAGGACCCTGGTTGCTACAGCTGGCTCTTCGGCTTTGAAATGGAGATGAGCACCGCAACCCTAGAGATGGATTTGACTGGCTTTCGAGCAAGGGAACCTTTACCTTTTACCTCTAATCTCAGGGGCCATTCTGACATGCAGTTGGTGGGTAGCTCCGTCTCACGGCCCTCCAATCACATTGTATTTGACATTCAGAAATCCTGTAGGACGGGCCTAGCAGACGGACGCTTTCAAAGGCGCCATTGTCCAGGTAGCACTGGGATAGGCGGAAACCCGTTGTCCCGTCGCTCAGGAGATAGGGAGGGCCATGGCTCAGTGGTACGCAGAAGGTCCCAGGTAGCAAGTGATATGAAAGACCTCTACCTGAGACCTTGAAGAACAGAATAGACAATACTGACCTGGATAGCCAGTGGTCTCTTTGAGTAGAGGGCTTCATATGAGAGCCATGTGGAATGGAATGATGGGGTAGAAACACCAAGGCAGCTTCAGAGTTAGAGCTGGATCACTCAGCTGGCTGGTGGTGGGAAAGAGCCCCCCCACACACACACAAATTAGAAAAAACCCGTGGGACCGGGGGATCTGGCAATTGTCTTCTTGCTGCCCTCTGCAGGGTCTTCTTCTCTTCTTCTTTGTACACCGGACATGGCCTTTCCCAGCACTTTCCAGATCTCTGACTGTCTCCACTACCCATCTCTAAACCTGTTCCCGTTAGTCTACATCAGGGGGTCCCTAACATGGTCTCTGTGGGCACCACAGCACCCTCCTATGCCTTTCCTGAAGCCCACCAAGCATTTTCAAAAGGTGGGTGGGCAATGTAGGGCTCTGGTCAATCAGGACTTCTGATTGGCCCCTGGGAATCTGATTGGCAATGCAGATTAAAAGAACGTTGTTTCAGCAGTTGCTGCCGGCACAATGTGGCTTTTGTTCTCTCGCATGTGTCTTTTCGGGGGTATTTCTAAAACGACCCCTCTTCTCCTGCACATGGGCTTCCTCTGGGTACGTGGCTCCACCTCCAGCAGCAGCCATGTTGTGAACACACAAAGCTGCCTTATAATGAATCAGACCACTGGTCTATCATCAGTATCGTCTACTCAGACTGGCAGTGACTCTCCCGGGTCTCAGGCTGAGGTCTTTCACATCACTTCCTACCTGATCCTTACTGGAGAGGCGGGAGATTGAACCTGGGACCTTCCGTATGCCAAGAAGATGATCTAAAACTGAGCTACTGTGTCAGCTCAGCATCCCGTGTAAGCGATTTTGTGGTTGTGCCCACCACCCTGTGTCAGAATTCTCACAGGAGCAAAAAGCTTGGGGACCTCCGGTCTACATTTTCCTTAATAGTGCTACACCCAGAATTTTTGTTCTCCAGCTGAAGTCTGGTTAGCACAGATTAGAGTGGAACTATGATGTCTAATGACTTAGCTAGTGTCCTTCTGTCAATACAACCTAAAATTGTGTTTGCCTTTTTTTGCAGCTACATCACACTGCAAGATCTTTCTTCCTCAACTTCATTAATCAAGTTTATGAGAGTTAGAGAACGTAAGAACGTAAGAAGAGGAAGAGCCGATGCTGAATCAGACCAAAGGTTCATCAAGTCCAGCATTCTGATCACACAGTGGCCAACCAGCTCTCTATCCACTTTCTCCACACTAGGCATAATTTGATAAACCTCCAACACGTCCCCTGTTTAAGAAGATAAGAAGAGTCCTGCT